TAATAAAAAAATTATCATATTAAATAAATGTACCTGCATAAAATTCCAAAGTTCAATTTTTTTACTGTCATCCACTGAAGGCCAATTTTTAATAACAACTGGCATGTACTCCTGCACTATGGCTCCGGCTATGCTGACAAATTTATCAGAGTTATGGCCACCTACTTGCCCGAATTCATTGAATTCAAGCTCCATTTTCTGATAGTTATTTTCAGCAACCATTTTCAAATGAATTGGACCTCTTTTCTTTTTTGTAGCATCTACACTTGTCGAAGTCATGTTTTGATCACCAGTAATTGGAGTAGACATGGTATCTCTAGGTTCACTAGAAGGTCGTAGTCTTTTATTTGTCTCCCGAATTGCAACAGCAATCGCAGCGCTTCGTCTTTTAGAACTCATGGAAGCTTGCTTATTTGACTTAAACAATGCAACATGAAAACATAGCATAAAGTTAATTATTCTCGAAAGTTACCATCTTAAGAAGTGTATTGAAACACACTCACCTGAGCTTTATCCATCATGCGTATATTTAATAATATCACCTAGTTCCAAAAAGCCACTTGAGAAAGTACGAATTTGCAAACAATAAGAGAAAGAGAATGATATTCAAAGTTCTACTACTTGTAATTTAAACAGTTATATGTATAACGACATTTACCAAACTAATCAATTTATATATCACATAATATGCCTTCAGCATCTATCCTTGCAAAATTCTCATCCTCCTCATGAGTGTCTTCAATTTGTGTTACATCCAATGGAATAGTTGCCTCATAAGAAGTATCTTCTTCCATATGTAACGCGTGAAAGTCGCTTGGTGATGCTTGCAAAACAACATACCAATTAGATGTTTCATTCTCCCTAGAATAAAAAACTTGTTTCGCCTGTGATGCCAAAATGAAAGCATCATTTTCAAATTGTCTGTGTCCCTCGTGAAGGTTGACCAAAGTGAATCCATCTTCCTTCTTTATTCCATTCACAATATTTGCCCAGTCACATTTGAATATTGGAATATGAAATGCATTATAGTTAAGCACTATAATATCGCACAAAACTCCATAATAAAGAACTTTTCCAACAACATGTGTATTATCTTTTGCACTAGATCTACAGATGGTTGTTGCTTCAACTAAAATGCCACTATTTTGGCGAGAGTTTTCGACATCTTTAGTGTGAAATCGAAATCCATTTATTACAAAACTGGAATATGACATGGATTGACATCTAGGGCCACGTGCAAGCCACTTTAAAGTATTTGAAACATTGTCCAGCAACAATTGACCCGTAATCTGTTATGAGTATAAACACGTTAGGAATAAAAGAATAAACAATAGAATTAAATGTTAATCTGTTCGATATATGTACTTCAACCTTATTGTGCAACCAGGTGGCAAACGTGTCAATATGTTTCTTATGCAACAAATTCTCATTTCGTCCAAGTCGTTTGTCAAAACTCCTGAGTTCACTCATATGCATCCTAAGTAAAAAACAATATATCAAGAAATCTCGAAGAACTTAAAATCCCAAAAAGTATATACTTCACAAACATACTGTACGTATGGAGCCACTTCTACACTATTCAGCAATACATAGCGATGGGCAACTTTTAGCATCTCATTAGAGAGTACAAGTGACTTCCCTTTGGAAATTGGACGACCTGCAACTAAGAAGTCACTCTCATACTCTTCATTGCGTGCAAGCTTAGAGCCTATTTCAGATGCTTGTTTTATGTATTTGCTACAAAACATTGCATTTTCTTCAACAATATATCGTTCAGCTATG